AATTGTTCACTCTCTGCTCTGTGCTGCTACATAACTATCCATTCTCTTTTCTATCAGAATGAAGGTGAGGCAGAGACAGAAATTTTAGGCTGGGAAGAACCCCAGAGGTTATCTAACTTCAGGGGGGAAAGCAGACAACACTAGGGAGTAAACTGATTTGGCTCTTTCAGGGTTCTATCTTACTTCCCCTTCCAAATTTCATGACTTTAACATGTGGTGCCTGGAACATTTTTCTGGTTCCCTTTCTCTCCTCCTCCTCCCTCTCCTCCTTCCACTCTGGTCACACTCCCAGCAAGCCGCAGAAAGCCTAATTTAGACCTCGTGCTGTGGCTTTAGTTCATAACTGAAGGAAAGAAAACCTCAGATTACGCAATATCTTGTTCTAATAAATAATTTTTTCTCAATGACATGTTTTTTAGGCAACTACACAGAAAAAATGGAAGTTGACAATTGCATACTGCAAGAAATTAATCAGAATGGTCTTTCATCATAAACAGGTGCTCTGAAAGCAAAACCCAAAAATAAAAAGGAAGGACAGCACAATAGATAAAGGATACTCACCACAGTATCGTGAAAGTCACTTTCAGTCGATAGCTTTCCTACCCAAACCCCCACTCAACCTCAGATGAGAGCGACTGACTAATTTAAATATCTTCCCTTGTGTATGTGGGAATAATTTTCATTGGTTCATTCAATAAATATGTATGGGGCTCCAACAATGAGCTATACACTGTTAGGCATGAAAATTAATAGTGATAATAGTGGCTACATTGATTGAGTCACTATTGTGCCAGGATAGGGTTCAGGCCTACTGACTCCAGAGTCCTGAGTCTGAACCACTGACCTAAGGGGTGGATGAGAGCATCCTCCACAGCCCTCTGCTCTACCAGGGGAGCTACTGCATTTGGTTAGGAAGAGCGAGGAGAAGTACAGTGCCCTCCACCTCCCAATACTGGCCCCAGAATCTCCTGCTGAGCTGTGCCATGTCTGTGGATGGGTGTCATTTTTTTGGTTTCTTTGTCTTTTGTGTTTTTAGATGGAAAAATATAGTTTATTTAGAAAGTAATCGCTTCGGCAGCACATATACTGAAATTGGAATGATACAGAGTAGATTAGCATGGCCCCTGCACAAGGATTACTTGCAAATTCATGAAGTGTTCCATATTTAAAAAATAAAAATAAAAAAGAAAGTTAATAATAGAGAGAGAAGAGAGAGAGAGAAGAGATTGACAGAGAGAGAGAGAGAGAGAGATTTACCTTCCCAAAGTAGGGGAGGGGGCCAAAGCTTGATGGGTGTCATTTGATATGACTATTCAGCTAGGGTAGAAGTTACCTTCTTGAAATCTAGTGCTTGGGGATTGTTGGTATTAGTTCCTCCATGGACAGCCTATTCTTCCAGGCAGCTCTAAGGGTGAGAAAGTTCCTAATTACATTGATCTAGATCCTCCCTTCATTTGTTCCAGTTTTTATCCACCTTTGTTTGAAGTCTTTTTTTTTTTTTTTAGACAGAGTGATGATCATTTGCCTAGGCTGGAGTGTGGTGGCACAATCTTAGGTCACCGCAGTCTTGAACTCAGGGGCTCAGGCAATTCTCCCTCCTCAGCCTCCCAGATAGACGGGGCTACAGGCACACCGTGACAGGCTATTTTTTTATTTTTTTTTTTTGTAGACATGGGGTCTTGTGATGTTGTCCAGGCTGGTCTCAAACTCCTGGGGAATATCCTCAAGTGAACCTTGGCCTCCCAAAGTGCTGGGATTATAGGCACGAGCCACCATGCATGGCATGAAGTCTTTTTGATATAATCTTTCTTTAAGCATCCTATAAGCTACTACAGGCTGTAGTACAGTGACATGCTCACAGCCACCACAGCCTTGACCTGCGGGGCTCAGGCGATCCCTCCACCTCAGCCTTCCAAGTAGCTGGAACTACAGGTGTGCGCCATCACATCGACTTTTTTTTTTAATTGTACAGATGAGTTCTCACCAAGTTGCCCAGGCTGGTCTTGAACCCCTGAGCTCAGGCAATCCTCTCGCCTTGGCCTGTAAAAGTGCTGGGATTATAGGCTTCAGTAGCCACACCCCAACTAGTTAAAAATTTTTAAAAAGTCAACCGGATGTGGTGGCTCATGCCTGTAATCCCAGCACTTTGGGAGGTAGAAGTGAGAGGACTGCCTGAGTCCAGAGATTCGAGACCAGCCTAGGCAACTTGATGAGATCTCTTCTCTAAAATAAATTTTAAAATTAGCTGGGCACGGTAGCATGGGCTTGTAGTTCCAGCTACTTGGAAGGCTGAGGTGGAAGGATCACCTGAGCCCAGTAGGTTGAGGCTGCGGTGGCCATAAGCATGCCACTGTACTCTAGCCTGGGTGACTGAGTAAGAGACTCCAACTCAAAAAAAAAAAAAAAAAAAAAGATTAGGGGTCACCCATGATTCTACACCAAATCCTAAAACACTTCGAAGGTATAAAACCCCAGTCAAATTATCTTTGCTTTCCAGCATTCGAGACAACATTAAGAGAAAAAGTGGAAGAGAGAGTATGCAGGTGTGCGTGTGTGTGTGTGTGTGTGCGCGCGTGTGTATGTGTGTGTGTGTGTAGAGAGAGCCTGAAGACAGCAATACACAAACATGTTTATTTTCCTACAGTTCTAAGGAGGCTCCTGTTAAAACTAATAGAAACAACAAACACTCCCCCAGGAGACTTCTAACTGACAAAAGGGTGCCTTTAAGGTAGGGAAGAAAAGCTAAACAGAATGTCCCCATATGGATTTCTGGATTTTAATAGGCATGTGCTCTTGAGGACCAGGTGGAATACTAACATGAAAAAAAATTCAGTAATTACATTAACAGAAACTTTGTGGAAAGGTTCTAACTCAGCTCACAGCTAATTATGACCCTTACAAATATTTTTGACTCTGCCAATAAATCAGAACAATGTGTACTAAGCCCACACATTTTGGAGGAAACATATTAGCTCCCCTAACTCAATTATTCAATATTTAGGGGTAAGAATTTAGATATTCATTCAGCAAAATCTGTAGATGTCTATGATGTGCCAGTTACAGGTGTTGGTGCTGCAGATCTGGCAGGGGACAGAGTCCTGGCACGAGGAGCTTTTATTTAATGGAGGGACAGACAATAATCACATAAACCAGTCCTACGCCAGGAGTCACAAGTGGCATGAAAAGCAGTGACAAGGTGGACAGGAAGGGGCAGGGGATCTGTTTGATTATTAGTAGGCGGAACCTCTGCAATAAGGTGATATTAGGGCAGAGACTGAGTGAAGTGGGGGGGGAGAGAACTGGGGGAAGAGCACTGATACTTCTTTTGACCTCATACAGCAGCTGATGTGTATGTTGAACACAACAGGCTCATCAGTAATAATTTATCAGCTTAGTGATCTGTTGAGTTTGCTTTAAGTTGATTGGATAGATGAAAGGAATTAGAATCCTGTGAGTTTCCTGCATTTTCTAGTCCAGAGGTGGCTGGTTCTCAAGCAGGGTAGAATCTGCCCATCAAGGAACATTTGGCAATGTCTGGCTACAATTTGATTATCATGACCTGGAGAAAGGGGAGGTTACTACTAGCATCTTGTAGGGGTAAAGATAAGGTAAAGGCCAAAGGCTGCTGAACATTCTACAAGGCACAGAATAAATCCATACGGCAAAGAAATAATGGGCCAAAAGATCAGCCGTGCCGCTGTTGAGAAATCTCTATCTGGTACCAAAGCCAGCCCCTAGATCTCTGATGACAGCTGAGGGTCTGGGCAGGAGATCTCTTGACAACAACCCCATGAAGATTCCAGGGTAGCTGTAAACAGGGTAGGTCAGGTCCTTGGCATGACCTGGAGGCATCTGTTCCCGGCTTGGTGATACATTTGGCTGGCTGGTTTCAAAGTCACATGGGGATTTATTTACTAAACAACATTAAACAAAAGTTCCCTGCATTTCTTTGGTACAAGAGAGGTAAAGGAGATAAGATATGATCCCTAGCCGGGCTTGGTGCTCAGCCTGTAATCCCGCGCTTTGGGAGGCTGAGGTGAGTGGATTGCTTGAGCCAGAGGGTTCGAGACATGCCTGGGCAACTTGGCGAGACCTCATCTCTATAATAAATCAAAAAATTAGCTGGGTGTGGTAGCACACGCCTGTAGTTCCAGTTACTTGGAAGGCTGAGGCAGAAGGATCACCGGAGCCCAGCAGGTCGAGGCTGTGGTGGCCCAGAGTGGCCACCGCACTCCAGTCTGGGTGACAGAGTGAGACTCCAACTCAAAAAAAACAAACAAAACATATGATCCCTGCCATCAAAGATGTTACAGCCTAGGGATGATGGGTGGCATGAAGACAGGCTCCTGCAATGTGGCAAGGAATACAGAGGGTAGAGATAAAATGATGTCAGGGAAGACAGGCATGGTGGCTCATAGCCTGTAATCCCATTACTTTGGGCGGCAGAGGCGAGAAGTCTGTCTGAGCTCAGGGGTTCGAGACCAGCCTGAGCAACTCAGTGAGACGTCGTCTCCACAACAGCTCAAAAAATTAGTCAGGCATGGTGGTGTGATCGAGCCACTGTACTCCAGCCTGGGTGACAGAGTGAGACTTCAACCCCCCCCCCACAAATGATGCCAGGTAGAGGAGTAATGGCTTTTTGTTGGAGTGACTCAAATAGATTTAACACATGACTCAAATAGATTTAAATCATTTGAACTGGGCTTGGACAATGGCTTCTAGTAAAGCAGAGAGGGAAGTGGAAGATATATATACTAGGTGAAGGGTTAAAATGTAAACAGGTGAAAAGGCAGGAAATAATAATCATGATAATATTTACTGCCACCCAATAAGCTCTGTCTATTTGGCAGGTGCAATGCCAAGCACTTTTATCATGATAAACAATTGTAGCCTAAATTCAAAACTGATATATATGAATCAGCTAGTTTAACACGATCCAAAGTGACTTGAATTTTCATTGTATCCACTTCAAAAAGATATTAAAACATGGGAAGTGTTACCTGGGGTAAGTTACATAAATACCGAAGCAGTTCACCGATATACTGAATGACAGTAACGTTGTATTTTCTGCAGTCATCCCAGAACTGGCTGGCTGAAAATTTAGTCCTCAAGGCAAGAGTAGCACCTACATGGAAAGCACAGAAATGGTCAATAAAGACATGATACAAAAAACTTCCTCCAATTCCATTTAATTTGTCATCTTTGAAAGACAGAAATTTAAAAATAAATATTCACAAACAAGTATTGAGTACCTATTATATTCAATGTAAAAACAGAGGAAAACATGGTTTTGTTATTTAGTGGCTTCCAATCTAGGGAGGAGAAGACACATACATAAGTCATTCTAACAAAAGCTTGTAATAAGAGGTTCAAGTGAAGCCCGAAGGGAATAAGAGAGAGAAAGAGAAAAAGAGAAAAAGAGGAAGAGAGAGAAAGCGAGGGAGGGAGGAGGAGCGGAGAGACAGAGACAGAAGATTAATTCTGCTTGCAGGCAAGGGCTGAGAAAGTCAGATTTTGGAAAATGGAGGATTGGTCTTGAGAAATGACTATGGAGATGAGAGAATTTTAGGCAGAGTAAAACTTTGAAGAGAAGGGCAGGACAGTTCAGAGGTGTTGGAGACGGGACAAGATTCAGTTGGCCTGTCACTGGGGTGGTGAGGGGTGGGTGGGATAAACCTGGAGAAACAGCCAGAGGTACAATCATGGAGAACTGGGAAGTGTCAGGTAGAGAAGTCAGACTTAATTTTGGAGGTAATGGAGAGCCAAGGTCTTGAGCAAGCAGGAGATAACATTCTTCTATGTTGGTTGAGCTAAACAGAAGAATGGTATCCAGAAATGTCCACACACTAATCCCCAGCACTTGTGAATATGCTACCTTATATGGCAAAAGAGACTTTGTAGATGGGATTAAGTTAGATCTTGAAATGGGAAGATTATCCCGGGCTCTCTGGGTATGTCCAACGTACTCACAAAGGTCTCTTTTTTTTGGTATTATTTTAAGGATGTGGGGTACAATTCAGGATTAGGTATTGTACAACGACAAGTGGTCATTATACAGGTAAGTTTTGGGCCTCTCTTTTGTCCCCAGTTCACCTGGTTTGAGATCAGGTACCCTTAATGATGATGTGTGACTCCCCTCCCTTGGCAGTTTCCCACTACTGCCAATTCCTTTCTTATAGTATTATAATTAATTGTTCAGGGTACGCTTACGAGTGAGAACATGTGGTACTCAGTTTTTGTTTCTGTGACAGATCACTGAGTCTGACAGACTCTAAATCCATCCAAGTTGCAGTGAAGTCACAAAGGTCTTTTTAAGAGGGAGGCAAGGTCAAAGGCAGAAGGGGATGGGATCATGGAAACAAAGATTGAAGTGATGTGCTCTAAACATGGAAGGGACCACGAGCTAAGAAATTTAGGCAGCTTCTAGGAGCTGGAAAAGGCAAGAAAATACATTCCCCCCGTAGTCTCCAGAAGATCTGCAGCCCTGCCAACATATTGATTTTAGGATTTCTAAAAGATAGAATAGTAAGATAATACATCTGTTGTTTTAAGCAACTAAGGTTGTGGTAATTTGTTATAGCAGCAATAAAACTAATAACATGACTCTTCTGTTCCTGAGCATTTCAAATAAGGGATACTCAACCTGTATATGATTGCCCAAGCCTCTGCTTCTGTCCCTGAACTATAAAATGGGTAAAAATATTTATCTTTTCAATCTAATTATAGGCATGAAGTGTTGTAAAAATGAAATTTAAAAATCTCATAAATGAGGCTGGGTGCAGTGGCTCACTCCTACAATCCCTGCACTTTGGGAGGTCTAGCTGATTGGATTGTCTGAACCCACGGGTTCGAGACCAGCGTGGGCAACTTGGTGAGACCTCATCTCTACAATAAATCAA